ATCCTCACTGAACACTTTGATATTTTCTTCTCCTACCACCTATATACCTATATATATATATATATATATATATATATATATATATATATATATATATATATATATATATATGAATGTATATATATATAACTTGACACACAGGTTGTCAGCAGTCCCCCCCCCCCCAGAAGCCAGCGTCGTCCCTGTCCCTGTCGTCTACGGTGGCAGTATTGACCAGGGGGGGGGGGAGCGGGGCCTCGACCACTCCTCCTCCCTCCCCCCTTACCCGCTCCCTCTTTCCCCTGACCGCTCTCTCGGCTGCGGTCAGGTCTTGAGGTTAGCCGGTACTTAAGGGTCACGTGGAGAGGGGTCAGGGGTCGCGTGCCTTCCCTAATGCCCTGTCACGCCCCATCTGGTGACCATTAAGCCAATTATGTAGACGCGTGTTGAGGTTACCTGGTTGATACCTGGTTGATACCTGGTTGATGGGGTTTTGGGAGTTGTTCTACTCCCCAAGCCCGGCCCGAGGCCAGGCTCGACTTGTGAGAGTTTGGTCCACCAGGCTGTTGCTTGGAGCGGCCCGCAGGTCCACATACCCACCACAGCCCGGTTGTGAGGTGTCCCAGGGTGTGAAATACACCCTAATTTACCGCTTCTGAAAACATTCTCAATCCTCTAGCGGTCCTATTTTTTGTCATTTTTGTCTTTAAGTATTTCCAATAATTCTTGCACTATTAGGAAGGATAATTCTATGCGAGTTTTCCTACCCTTTGACCTGGAACAAGTCAGGCATGTCTTCCGTTATCTTATAAATTCCTTTGTTATCATGACTGGGGCCTTCTTAACCTTCCAGTTCCCCTTCATTGTCGATATGGAGAGTTAGGTTCCCCCGAGCCTTTGGCAACACTGTGGTTATCTTGAGGTTATCTTGAGATGATTTCGGGGCTTTAGTGTCCCCGCGGCCCAGTCCTCGACCAGGCCTCCACCCCTAGGAAGTAGCCCGTGACAGCTGACTAACTCCCAGGTACCTATGTACTGCTAGGTAACAGGGGCATTAGGGTGAAAGAAATTCTGCCCATTGTTTCTCGCTGGCGCCCAGGATCGAACCCGGGACCACAGGATCACGCGTCCAGTGTTCTGTCCGTTCATCCACCGGCTTCAACTGGTGGTACTGGTGTGTGCTTACCTAATAGTGACTACGGGGAAGTGAGCTCTAGCTCTTTGTGCCCCGCCTACTGGCCTTTGTTGTATCTGTTGCGTTACAACTTAAATTATGTTGTCGTTCAAATTCTTGGTCGTATCTGGCCTTAGAGTTGTGGATGGAGGTGGCTTCTACAGCCTCTCCTTGCAGTGCATTCATGATTCACTGCATTTCATATCCTTTGTGTTTCCAGCTTCCACCTTTGATTTGATTGTTGCCGCCGAAGGCGGCTAGTTTATTGTGCACCCCATACTCATCCTGTGAGCGGTAGCGCAAAAGCATTACAGAGGGCACAAAAGGTCTTTATCAGACCTCATCTTAGATTATTACATAAACAATTTCTTCAATCCTTCACACCTGTGTCCTCTTGTCCTACTTTCTCTCAGTGTGAAGTGGCTGTCCTTATATCCATCTTATCTACCCCCCTCATTATCTTGTCCATTCATAATCTTGTAAGTTGTGATCATATCCCCTCTCTTCCTTGTATCCTCTAGGGATGTGAGATGTAGCTCCATATCCTCGTAGCTTAACGCTCTTAGCTCCGGTGCCACTCTTGTTGCAAACCTTTGACCGTTTTCAATTTTGCCACATGCTGCTGATGTTATCCTGTTTATGTGTGGCTCTGGTGTGAGTGTTGGAATTATATCCACTAACAAATCTTTCTCTCCTTCCAATTGTTATGTGTGTGTGTCGGGGGGGGGGGGAGGGGAGGGTCTCTCTCTTTCTCTCTCTCTCTCCCTCTCTCTCTGCCTCTGTCTCTCTGTCTCTCTCTCATCAACATATCAGAAAAATGCCGAATATTTCGGTCTCCATGCGGAAACTTTTCAAATTAATGATTTAATTTTCGAACGGTTTGAGCCCTACCGATACCTCAGAATTACTGTCGGCCCTAGCAAGAGGGTAAGAGGGCAAGAGAGCAAGAGAGCAAGAGGGCAAGAGGGCAAGTGGACAAGAGGAGTTTGGTCACCTGTAAGTGGCCTCTGGCATCTGAGAGACATGTCCTGGAGTGGTCATGGACCTTCCAAAAACCTCGTTAATCCAGCCGCCAACCTTTCCTGTCCAGCCCGGCCTCAGACTACGTCCATTCCATCCAGCGGTCGACCCCCAAGATCGCATTCATCAGTGTTAACATGCTCTTCATTCAAAATAAGAGTAAGCTGGGTATATATACCTCTCAGCGGATACATTCTGTCGTCTTCATTGTTCTTCTTCCATATCTCTCTACCCTCTCCTCTCCCCCTCCCACCTCCACCCCCTCCTAATCCTGGTCTACTTAGCCCCCCTCCTTAAAGCTTCAACAGACGGCAGCCTGACCCAGCCCAACACCTCAACCCCCGCTTCCCCACTCCTCTAAGACCGCTTGACCTTTGTCCTCTTTCACAGCGTATGTCTCCCCTCCCCCCCCCCCCCCCCCACCCCACACAGGATATTACCCAGCTTTCTCCCCCCCCCCCACAGCACCTCTTCCCCCCCCCCCAGCCAATGTCCCCCCACCCCACATCACTCTCTCTCTCGTTATGCAAATATGTGACCTTATTTAACCCGGCGCCTGACCTATAAAGCACGATTATCAATAGAGCGAGACCCGGGAATGCTTGCCTTTGTGGGGGCCGTGATGGCAGAGTCCAGTAAATACCCGCGTTTTTCTTACCTGAAGTCCTGAGTGTTGTAGCGGAGTGTGGGTGTGTATAGCTGTCCACAGCGGGTCGAATTGTTATTTGTTTGGGGTAATGAGAGAGAACCGGAGTTAGGAAATTTTTGTATGTATGTTATAGGTAGTGTAGTAGGTGGAAATACTGGGATTTCACCCCGGGGAAAAGGGGTTAGGTTCGAGTCCTTGAAGGGTTACTGAGAGAATTGGTGATGTGATTTGTTTTGTATAATTTTACATTACACATAACGCATGAAGTGTTCATCTGTGTTGATTGTATTGTGTAACAATTTTATTTATTTATTTATTCATTTATGTTTATTTATTGTCCCTGGGTAGTTAGTTTTGTTCTGATTGCTTAAGTGTTGAAAATAACTATATGCAGGCGATGAGTCACAATAACGTGGCTAAATTATGTTGACCAGACCACACACTAGAAGGTGAAGGGACGACGACGTTTCAGTCCGTCCTGGACCATTCTCAAGTCGATTGAAAATAACTATATTCCCTTCAAACTTTGCTTTGACTTTTGCCTAAGACATCTTCGAGAAGACATCTTGACTGCCTGTGACACAAGTCTGAATGGCGCTTCAGGTGCCAGCGGTTAGGCACGCCCGCCCTCTGACAAGACCAACACGTCCTCTAAAACTGCTTTACATCTCTCGGCTTTCTGGAAACAATGACGTGATTCCTCTTGTACGAGTAATGATCATCCGGTTACACTGTGTTTTGATCCTCACACGTCCTGCCTTCTGGCGTAGAGTTATACAGTCTGTCACTTAGGATCTGTTTCTCTGTCAGGTCACAACTGATGCGGATTAATTCTAGACGTGACGAAATATTAACACGGATTACAACGGCGTCTCAGAGAGGCTACAGTCACCAGAGATTTGTGAACAGCAGTCGACCTCCTGCCAGTCTTGCTTATCAGACTTGCTGCCAACGACCAGGGCTGATCACCTGTGGGTCCAACGACCAGGGCTGATCACCACTGGGACCAACGACCAAGGCTGATCACCAGTGGGACCAACGACCAGGGCTGATCACCAGTGGGTCCATCGACCAGGGCTGATCACCACTGGGACCAACGACCAGGGCTGATCACCAGTGGGACCAACGACCAGGGCTGATCACCAGTGGGTCCAACGACCAGGGCTGATCACCAGTGGGACCAACGACCAGGGCTGATCACCAGTGGGTCCATCGACCAGGGCTGATCACCACTGGGTTCTCTCGTAACTCCTGTTTCAGAGAGATCGACGCAGGTCAAAGCTTGAGTCTTTGCAACTTTGTAACTGCTTATGGTTGTCCCAATGTTCGTAGGTCGCCTAATATTAACCTCAATGCAAAAAATGTATAAATCTTAAAATAAGTATTCCCTGGCAGGCCTTCATGGCGACCGTGGGTCCGTATATGACTCTTCAAGAAAGCCGAGTAACTATATGATCTAGATGTCGTACTTGTAGTGCAAGATACCATTATAAAAATGTACATTATTCACTTCGCGAAGCCTTCGTGAGGCTCACGATGGGCCATATGATGTTGTTATGAACCCATAACATGGTTTTACCTATTATGACGAGAAGAGGGAACCTACTCGGAGAAATCACAGTAACATAATTTATCAATGAGAAAATTCGTAGGAGCCGTGATGAGGATTCGAACTTATGTTCTGGGTATTCGCAAGCACACGCCTTAGACAGCTGGGCCATGACATAGTCAAAAGAATTGCAACCATGGGTTCTACTGAATCCACGAGGGTTCCTGAAGCTTCCACTGAAGGCGAACAAGGGTTTCACACAATCCCCCTCATGCACTCAGAGCATAGATTCGAATCGTCATAACGGCTCCTACGGATTTTCTCATGGGCACTTGTTATAGGTTTACTGAGGTACCCCCTCGCCCAGGGTGAGGTCGCACGCGCGTGCAGTCACCCATCCAGTTCCTGACCATACCTGACTGACCATACCTGACTGCTCGAGAAACAAACACGTCATTCACTGAATACAACTCTCCCATGGTCACTGTTCAGATGCCTAGAGTCATAACACAGATCAAAACAACTGACACCTTGGAGTGCGCCTGGATTCATCAAGCATTTCCCCAATAAGCTTACGAAACCTGTACATCTTTCTTTAATTATGGCGGGCTTGTTTACATTTGCTTTATCTACTGGTGTTGCTGCTGCAGGAGCTTTATCTGTTGTTGCTGCAGGAGCTTTATCTGTTGCTGCTGCAGGAGCTTTATCTGTTGCTGCTGCTGCAGGAGCTTTATCTGTTGCTGCTGCAGGAGCTTTATCTGTTGCTGCTGCAGGAGCTTTATCTGTTGCTGCTGCAGGAGCTTTATCTGTTGCTGCTGCAGGAGCTTTATATGTTGCTGCTGCAGGAGCTTTATATGTTGCTGCTGCAAGAGCTTTATCTGTTGCTGCTGCAGGAGCTTTATCTGTTGCTGCTGCAAGAGCTTTATCTGTTGCTGCTGCAGGAGCTTTATCTGTTGCTGCTGCAGGAGCTTTATCTGTTGCTGCTGCAGGAGCTTTATCTGTTGCTGCTGCAAGAGCTTTATCTGTTGCTGCTGCAGGAGCTTTATCTGTTGCTGCTGCAGGAGCTTTATCTGTTGCTGCTGCAGGAGCTTTATCTGTTGCTGCTGCAGGAGCTTTATCTGTTGCTGCTGCAGGAGCTTTATATGTTGCTGCTGCAGGAGCTTTATATGTTGCTGCTGCAAGAGCTTTATCTGTTGCTGCTGCAGGAGCTTTATCTGTTGCTGCTGCAAGAGCTTTATCTGTTGCTGCTGCAGGAGCTTTATCTGTTGCTGCTGCAGGAGCTTTATCTGTTGCTGCTGCAAGAGCTTTATCTGTTGCTGCTGCAGGAGCTTTATCTGTTGCTGCTGCAGGAGCTTTATCTGTTGCTGCTGCAGGAGCTTTATCTGTTGCTGCTGCAAGAGCTTTATCTGTTGCTGCTGCAGGAGCTTTATCTGTTGCTGCTGCAGGAGCTTTATCTGTTGCTGCTGCAGGAGCTTTATCTGTTGCTGCTGCAGGAGCTTTCTCTGTTGCTGCTGCAGGAGCTTTATCTACTGGTGTTGCTGCTCTCCTCCTCCTCTTCCATCACCTCATCTCTCTTCCCTCCTGTTCACTATATTCCCCCTTGGAAAGCTGTGGAGATGTATTATACCCCCATCAGTGTAAAACAAATGTATAACACTGACATTTTGAGATGTATAACATTAGAAGCTATTGACAGTCATCTTCAAATTCTCAAACCGACTGAATCCTATGTCTTTACTGATGGCTCTGTGCAGTTAGGCACTGGTAGAACAGGTTGTGCATGTGCAGTGTATAAAGGGAATGAAATGATCATGACTAGTACACAGAGATTGAACAACTGGGCAAGCACGACACAGACCGAGCTATTGGGCATTTATCTAGCCACTGAATACCTCTAGCTCAATGGTGGTGGAGTTATTTTCTGTGACTCTAAAAGTGCTCTGCAGTCCTTAAATAACCCATCACAATGTATGTCGGAAGTAGCTTGTAATATTAAATGGAATGTAATTTTTGCCAATTATAATAACTCTTGTATAAAATTTGTGTGGATCCCATCCCATGTTGGAGTTGGAAAACATAACTTGTAGATCGATTGGCCAATGAGGCTTGCAGGAAAGAAAACGTTGACTATGACTTTGGACTATTTAATGCAATTATTAGAAACATACAAATTAAAGAAATTAATTCAAATTTAGAAGAACTAAGAAATGCCCAGAGACCTGAAAGCTGCAGTATTAAAAGTTATGACAAGTTTTGTAATAATAGGTATTTGTATGGTCAGCACAGTAACCGGACCAGGCAATGTGATGTAGTCATTGCGCGAATTCGCCTTGGCTATAGACACATCTGGCAGGTTAGTGAGGCTGAGCCACTACCAGAATACTCAGATTGTAAACTCTGTGATAAACATTTAATACATTCACTAGAACACTATATTGATGAATGTGAAACCGTAAAGGACTTTAGACCTCCTGACCTATTGTACCACCAACTGTGTAACTATTTTATTGACTCAGGTGTTCTGGACGACATACTAACAATTTATCCAAAATTTGCTTGTCCATTTTACGGAATGAAGAACAATTTTTATTTATATTACTTCTAAGCTGCATCACTTATGAACCCATCCCTGCCCTTGTGTGGCAGTGCACAATAGAAAGTTGTTTTCACATATCCATACATTCAAACATTGATTGTAACCATGATATATATGTGCTTCAGCCTACAGTTTAGACCTATGGTCTTGTGTATGACCCTCTGTCCTGCGTGACAGTGAATACCACCATTATCCTCACTTTAATAAGACTATCAAAATCCTCAGATTAGGCAAAATTGTAATTAATTTTGTCAATAAAGATGTTAAAAATAATAAATCGTCCCTCCGTGAGCTGCCACGCGAGCAGCTCTCAGTTGTGGTTACCAGTCCTGAGTGTTACACCAGCCAGGGTGGGGGGGGGGGCGCTGGGGCAGGGAGGGGGGGGGGGCGCTGGGGCAGGGAGGGGAGAGGGGAGGAGGAAGATGTAGGGGGATAAGCGGAATAAAGAATGGAAAAATTAATTATAATAATGGAGAAAAGTGAGAGACGATGTAGAGAGAGAGAGAGAGAGAGAGAGAGAGAGAGAGAGAGAGAGAGAGAGAGAGAGAGAGAGAGAGAGAGAGAGAGAGAGAGAGAGAGAGAGAGAGAGGGAGGGAGGGAGGGAGGGAGGGGGGAGAGTATATTCTTTGCTACTGAGTACAATATACCCAGAGAGGCAGGAATAAAGATAAACATCCGAAGTTCAAGAGTGACGTAGTGTGTGAAAGAGGAGGTATAAGGTAGTATAAGGAGGTATAAGGAGGCCCAAAGAGGCAACATCTAAGTACACACACACCAGCACACATCACCTTAGAGATGGACCACGTCAGTGAGGCTGATAAACCTCAAACATGACAGGAAAGATCACTGATCGAGTCGACCTCGAAATCTGAGACAGATAGTTTATCATAAGGTCCATTATTGGATGGTAAATCTTAAGCCAAACATCTAAATGGGGGAGGCTGAATAGGAAACGTATATAACCACCCTGTTAACCAATTTATACACTAATTATAACCAATTTACACACTAGCTCTAAATTGACACATTATGTACACTGGTGTAGGTACGAATCATTTACCTCGTTCTCTTCTGGATTAATCAGGCGTCAAATTGGCCAAAAATCCAATTACAGATTTTTTATGCAAGCGTGGTTATACCCTTCAGACGTCCGGGCCATGTATTGGCGTATACTTCCAGCTACACGTGGAGTATGTTATTATATATTGGTCGCAAGACAACACCATCGCTTTCAACCATCGCGGTTGTTTCGGTGCTCAGGCTTCCCGCGGCCCTGTTTCTGGCCAGGACTCACACACACACCCTCCTCCAGACATATCCTGGCAAACAGCACTGAAATAATCGACAGCTACAACAGAAAACTGGACACCTGGTGAGACTCACCAACACCACCAGCCTACAATATATATATATATATATATATATATATATATATATATATATATATATATATATATATATATATATATATATATATATATGTCGTACCTAGTAGCCAGAACGCACTTCTCAGCCTACTATGCAAGGCCCGATTTGCCTAATAGGCCAAGTTTTCATGAACTAATGCTTTTTTCACTACCTAACCTACCTAACCTAACCTAACCTAACATTTTCGGCTACCTAACCTAACCTAACCTATAAAGATAGGTTAGGTTAGGTTAGGTAGGGTTGGTTAGGTTCGGTCATATATCTACGTTAATTCTAACTCCAATAAAAAAAAATTGACCTCATACATAATGAAATGGGTAGCTTTATCATTTCATAAGAAAAAAATTATAGAAAATATATAAATTCAGGAAAACTTGGCTTATTAGGCAAATTTGGCCTTGCATAGTAGGCAGAGAAGTGCGTTCAGGCTACTAGGTACGACATATATATATATATATATATATATATATATATATATATATATATGTCGTACCTAGTAGCCAGAACGCACTTCTCAGCCTACTATGCAAGGCCAGATTTGCCTAATAAGCCAAGTTTTCCTGAATTAATATATTTCCTCGAATTTTTTTCTTATGAAATGATAAAGCTACCCATTTCATTATGTATGAGGTCAATTTTGTTTTATTGGAGTTAAAATTAACGTAGATATATGACCGAACCTAACCAACCCTACCTAACCTAACCTAACCTAACTTTATAGGTTAGGTTAGGTTAGGTAGCAGGAAATGTTAGGTTAGGTTAGGTAGTCGAAAAAACATTAATTCATGAAAACATGGCTTATTAGGCAAATCGGGCCTTGCATATTAGGCTGAGAAGTGCGTTCTGGCTACTAGGTACGACATATATATATATATATATATATATATATATATATATATATATATATATATATATATATATATATATATATATATATATATATATATATATACATGGTGAGGATGTTCGGTGAAAGATGTGGGATGGGTTGATGTTAGATTAAGTGAATGTGGGATGGGAGGATCTCTCTCTCTCTCTCTCTCTCTCTCTCTCTCTCTCTCTCTCTCTCTCTCTCTCTCGCTCTCTCAGAGAGCTAGAGAGAAAGAAAGAGAGAAAAAAACAGACAGACAGATGCGTGTGTACCAGGCATTAGGAGATAAGAAAATGCAACCACAAATTTGTTTAGACCAAAATATGAATAAATAAAGATGTCGGTTAATTGCCTAAGTACTCAGGCAAGATTTTTCCATGTTGATGAAAGGAAGCTTAAGGAAACATGACCCCCACGTGTGTATGATCTACGTGTGTATGATCTACGTGTGTATGATCTACGTGTGTATGATCTACGTGTGTATGATCTACGTGTGTATGATCTACGTGTGTATGATCTACGTGTGTATGATCAACGCGTGTATGATCTACGTGTGTATGATCTACGTGTGTATGATCTACGCGTGTATGATCTACGTGTGTATGATCTACGTGTGTATGATCAACGCGTGTATGATCTACGTGTGTATGATCTACGTGTGTATGATCTACGCGTGTATGATCTACGTGTGTATGATCTACGTGTGTATGATCTACGTGTGTATGATCTACGCGTGTATGATCAACGCGTGTATGATCTACGCGTGTATGATCTACGCGTGTATGATCTACGCGTGTATGATCTACGCGTGTATGATCTACGCGTGTATGATCTACGCGTGTATGATCTACGCGTGTATGATCTACGCGTGTATGATCTACGTGTGTCTAATCAACGCGTGTATGATCTACGCGTGTATGATCTACGCGTGTATGATCTACGCGTGTATGATCTACGCGTGTATGATCTACGCGTGTATGATCTACGCGTGTATGATCTACGTGTGTATGATCTACGTGTGTATGATCTACGTGTGTATGATCTACGCGTGTATGATCTACGCGTGTATGATCTACGCGTGTATGATCTACGCGTGTATGATCTACGTGTGTATGATCTACGTGTGTATGATCTACGTGTGTATGATCTACGTGTGTATGATATACGCGTGTATGATCAACGCGTGTATGATCAACGCGTGTATGATCAACGCGTGTATGATCTACGCGTGTATGATCTACGCGTGTATGATCTACGTGTGTATGATCTACGTGTGTATGATCTACGTGTGTATGATCAACGCGTGTATGATCTACGTGTGTATGATCTACGTGTGTATGATCTACGTGTGTATGATCTACGTGTGTATGATCAACGCGTGTATGATCAACGCGTGTATGATCTACGTGTGTATGATCTACGTGTGTATGATCAACGCGTGTATGATCTACTTGTGTATGATCTACGCGTGTATGATCTACGCGTGTATGATCTACGCGTGTATGATCTACGCGTGTATGATCAACGCGTGTATGATCTACGTGTGTATGATCTACGTGTGTATGATCACCGCGTGTATGATCAACGCGTGTATGATCTACGTGTGTATGATCAAC